TTTTTTTTTTTTTTTAAAGTTTGTTATTTAAATTGATTGCTGTTCGCCGAGAAATTTGGTTACTTGCGCTGTTTATCGGGTGAGTCAATTTTTAGCGATAGAGAAACTTGTGAGAAAAGTGTTCAGTTTTTTACTCAAATTTGAAATTTTCTATGAAAGACATTTACTTTTTCGTTGAACATAGATTATGTTAATCGTGCATAGCGTGTCGGCCGATTTTTCGTTCAAATTGATTACTGTTTGTTAAGAAATTTAGGTCACTCACACTACTTGCGAATTAAGGCGACCAATTTTCAATAATAAAGCAACTTGTGACGACACGTCAATTTTTCATTAGATTCACTTTTTTTTACTCAGATTTGAAATTCTACCAAGAAACTTACTTTTTTCTCGAGTATAAATCGTATTAATCATGTTTAGTGTTCGCTAAAAAAATTTTGACTTTTGTACTGTTTGTGAATCAACCGAACCAATTTTCAGTAAAAGAGCTGTTTCACTCAGATGTGAAATTCTACCAAAGCTCGAATATAACTCTCATAATACATTTACACAAAATGGTAAACGAAAACTCCTCTGCATCTTGTTGCAAAATTAAAGTTTAATCGAGAATTAACATCTAACACGTTGGCATACTAAAGTAACCACAGCAGAAGTTTACGACAGTCCTGAAACTGAACAGAAACTCGTCGCCCATGGGTTTCCAGGATCAGTCTAATAGAAACCGGACGAATGAACGCATTTGGAAGTGAGGAGCAACGATCAACTCGGTGCCGACCATACTACTGACGTAACTGCGAATTAATTCAGTTCAAGCAACAGGCTCGTGCCAACGTTGCCATGAGAAAGTTAAGTGACCTGTATCAAGTACCATTTCTCTTCTCGAAAACACTTCAAAAAATCGTTCATCCCATAGACACTTCAGCTATTGGACATTTCCTGCTTCTAAACCACAGACAGTTCTATTTCTGACGATCTGCGTAAGTGAAATCTTCCTGTTGCTTGCGAGAAAATGTCTTTTGGATTCACAGTTCCTGGACATCGACCCATTTTCACCCAAATTGTCCATTTCCTCATTTTCTATTGAATTTTGTTACCAAGAAAATTTGAATTTCTTCAAATTTTATTTTCAAGACAATTTTAATTTTTTACATTTGACTTTCAAGAAAATTTCAAGGATTTTACAATTTTATTTTCAAGATAATTTTAACTTTTTTTTATTTTATTTGCGAGAAAATTTTAATCTGTTTAGATGTTATTTTCAGGAAAATTTTAATTTGTTTGAATTTTGTGTCAGATATTTTTAAATCTATTTATGTGAAAGATACAGAATAATTTACCCCGAGAAAATTTACTTCCACCTCTGATAAAAAATACAATTTCCAAAGTGTAGTAAAAACTTTGCGTGTAAAATAAATAAAATGAAAATCAGAGGAAAATTTGTCAGTATCGTTAAAGTCGAAATTAACACACTCTCCTCGTTCTCGTAAAAAGTAAATTTAACCGTTTAACTCCTTTTACATTTACCACGCACATAACTAAATTACCGTTTAAATTTTCCATTCAAGCTAAATCGTATCAATTCCTCCTACACAAAATTCATCGAACGCCGCGATAGCTTTCTCTGAACTCGTATATCGTTTCATCGTGCTGAAAGGGTTACTCGATACACCGTGTGTTCACGAGGAAGAAACGTCTGCTGTAATCCAACAGTAAACCAAAGTGGCAACCAGCTGAAACACTAAAAGCAATTAATTAAAAAAGAAAAAACAAAATTGACGAAAAACAGATTTCGCTAGGTCTGTCGTCTCTCGTATATTAGAAGCCGCAACGAGTAAACAGCAATTAAGAGAACGAAAGAGCGGAGTTTGCTTTACCGTCTCAGTTCGAAACAGTCTGCGAGAGATGCAATTGGTTCGAAACGAACAGACGCCACTCCATGGGACAAGAAAGTATCTCTTTTACGACGACAGCTGCCTGGCACTCACGATTTCTCGAACCAGAGACGTGTGTTGTGTATCGTTTGTATTTAGCGGCCGATCCTACTAGCAGCTACAGCCGTTCAGAAAACTTCGAGGGTCCTCTCCCGTTCAAGTCGAGTTTCCTGAGAATTCTTAAGAGAAATTTTAACGGCCGCGGCGCGGAGCGTTCGCTTATTGTGCGCACCGGGGCCAACGATAAATTCCCCACCGCGACTTAAAACTTTTCCCTGTAGAACTTGCGCGAAATTATCGCGAATTTCTGGTACAATTAAGCCAGCTAGCAGCAGCGCCGTTCTTCAAAACGGCCGTTTAATTACGTTCCGCTGAAGAAAATTGGTGTGGTTGGATTAACGATCACGAAAATATTACCATTTGTTGTCCATTTGTTTCAACCTGATCAAGATTCTCTGGCTCTGCCAGCTCTGGATCACGCGAGCAGTGAATTAATGGTACGGTAAGTGTACAGAGTGTTTCAAAAATGTTGGGAAAAAGATTGAGTAAGATTTTTGTGTGTTTAATGTTTGAAGGAATTTTGGTGAAAAGTAGTTTTAAATAGGTATGGTACACTTCATTTATCAATTTTGTAATACAGGATTTTTTTTAGGTTAGTTTGAAACATATTTGTTAAAGTACATCTCATTTTGTAATGTATCAACATATGGTAAGATGGAACACTACTTTTGATACGCCCTTATATTTTAAAATTTAGCCAGTCACTCTCTGAAAATTATACAATTCACAAATTTTGTAATGTATCGACATATGGTAAGAAGGACCACTACTTTTGGTACGCCCTGTATATTTCAAAATTTAACCAATCACCCTCTAAGTATAATACAATTCACAAATTTGCCATATAAAACCTATATCTATAATTCTAACCTAACTTAAACCAACACTTTTGATACACCACCCTGTACATTTCTTCAAAGTTTAATCAACCATCGGTTTAATTGGCATGAGATGTTAATATAACCTCTTTTCATTCGGTACGACGAATTCGTATTCAAATTTTTCAAGCAACCTTTCTGATACATCCTGTATCCAGAACGAGCATACTTGATATTACCGTATAAATTACACCAGGAACAACATGGTCTACAGCCATCCGATATGATACAGAAAAATTACAGTTGAATAATAAAAAGCTGTATAATTATCCAGACCGAATATCGCCGATTCGCCGACATCGCATACAGAGGGCGGCGCACGCTGTTCCGTCGTCGTAGCTGCTCATTTTTCACTATGATTCCCCGTAGGCAGGAAAGCCAGGCACGACATGCGATGTCAGACACCGAGGAAGCGTCGACGTGGAAAGGAAAAACGAGAAAGAATGAAAAGCGTAATAGAGTTTACATGGCACTCCTCGCGTGCTCTGGGGCGAATGAGACTCAGGGACGTTTTTTTAAGGGGGTCAAGGGGACCCTGCGCCCCGGGGCCGTCCTTATTAACGCTGACCTCTCTCTCTCTTTCTAGCTCGAAATCGAGATTCTCAAAATTTCATACGAAAGCAAAACTTTACTGTGACGCACAACATCCCGGTTTTCGTACGAATAACATTTCGTCTGTTTCAACGATAAGTTTTCCTCTACTGTAAGTTTCTGTTAGTCTATGGTGAACCGTAGCGAAGTACATGTCGAACGAAATCACTAAACTCGCGGGAGATCCGTTCCAGAAATGGCCGACACTCTGAGGAAGCTATTCGAGGCACGACACTAATTTATGGACACGTTAACAGCACGCGTATCGGCCAGTGAGATCCGTGCAACCTTAAACTTGCATCCGTGCGTATGATTGCATAAAACTGCTGCCTTTGCGCCGGAGTCACGAACGCGGTTAATGGAATATTCTCCGTGGCGTCCGGAGGGCCGTAATAAACGCCGTTCCTTCCTGTTATTAACACGAATTAAAGAATCAATTTCGACGTGAAGTTTCAGTAGATCGATCGTGCCGAGCATCACCTGGCCGTCATTAATGTTACGGAACAACGACAGAGTTAGGTTAGGAACGTCGATTACGAAAGTAAATCGACGTGTACGAAATATGCGGCCAGATTATACAGTTCGAAATGTTCGATTATATATGTACGTACACCGGTTCGTTTGACAGCGGATGTTTTTCCTTTCTTCTTTTTTTTTTCTCTTTCTCGAACTGCGTATTAAATTATCTGACCTCTGTGTTACATTAGTTCTGCGAGAGTCCAGTATTCTCTTCACAATGTCACGACCGTCGTGCGTGATTCCGGCACGACGTCACGGTCCCATTGACGCCGACCACAGCCACCTTAAACACCCATAAAACATTTTCGTGACCTCTTTTTCGTGTAATTCGACGAACAGAGGCTTGTTCTCCGTTTCCGGTGACATGAAAGCACCGATACACTCGGCACGCTCGAAAAACCTTTCACACGTTCCGGCTATATATCGTGTATACCGCTGAATTCGTAAACGACACTGCGCGGGTTTCATTACCGATTTGAATGCCCCGGGTATACGTGGCATCGAAAGCGGGGTATGAATAATTTCGTTCTATTATTCTCCTACGTTTTGATGCTTGGCCGAAAACGCGTAAACGCTAGACGAATTATCGGTCGCGTTTATACAGGAGGTATAGAACGTACCACACACAATCGGTGTGTTTTTGCCAGGGAATGGAAATATCGGAAGCATCATCGCGAGTGTATTTTTACGGCGCTGAATAAAGAGCGTGAGAGAAGAGACGCGTATAAACTGGCCGAAGAGACCTTTCGACAGTGTGTTACGTATGATAACACAGTTCATATAATTTCGTAGCAGTATGCCAGAAAACGTGCATTCCCGAACAGGAGTTTCCTGTAGGAGGGAGCCTTGGCTACCCGGCGGTGAACCGTCGTTCTAGCACGACACGAGGTCGCGGAAAGGCACGAGCATCTCCGAGACGTTTACGAACGCGACCGAACCGCGACGAAAGCGTACGAGGCCGCGGCCACAGGGGTGGGGACTCACGGACGCTCAGTAGCTGAGCTCAGTCGAGCCAGCGCCGTGATCGGAGTTGGAATAGTGACTGGCGAACTGTGTTCCGAGCAAGCGTAACAGCTCTCGGCGTTCTAGTCGCTCTTTTAATCACGCGCACACGAATTAATTTGGTCGGCGGTGGTCGGCTGGCAGACCGAGGTCGAATATTCGAATCAGTCGTCCCTTTTTTTCTCTCGTTTGATCACGGGCTCGCCGTGTACTCACCGCACGCTTCTTGTTACCTTCGTTATCGTTCACCGTCGTCGTGCACGTTTGTCGATTCACGTTAGTTTGTCGCTGCTCGTTTAACCGTCCCCGGCCGTGATTGACTGTTGCGAGCCTTTTTTTTCCGCGGAGCCGTCACAGATACAGCAGTGAAAATGCGGTAGTGACAGTGTTACACCAGAGACAGGGAGAAGGAAGGGAATCCCTGACTACGTTTGTAGGCGCGAGGACGCCACGAGATTACTCGAGAAAATCGAAGTGAACGAAATTAGGGGAGAGGCTCCTTGAAGCCAGGGCCGAAAGTTATGACGAGCTCGTGTGTTCGAGGACGAGGAATTTACGCGCATGTGTCCAGTGGGATTTAGTGTCGGCGATAAAGCATTCTTTCCAGATCTGGATACCTTGCTCTCGACACCTACGGGACCTGGATTATCTCATGTCAGGATGGCGCTGGCGCGGTACGTACTTTCTACTCGACATTCGAACCTCTTCATCGTTACGGTTTAGGGTGGGTCTTTGCTCGGACGTATTTGTTTTTCTTCTCTGGTGCCCGATGTTATTAAGTGTCTTTATTGATCCAACACGACGACCAATATCGCGGGTTATATCGACGTTAAACCACGCATTATCTCGTTTATTAACGATAATATTTTGCATAATTGCGTCTCGGGATGGATTTAACAACATATTTATACGAAAAAAGTGTTTTTCATGAAGATACCGGTGTCCCTTTGTTTTGAAGTATTCTGCCGCAGATGCCGGTATCTGCCATAGAGTGCGCACTGGTCAACGACCCATCCCTGCCATAACTATAGTCAACTGATTTAACAGATTTATACGCTCTCTCAGTGTATTTACATAGCTGTTGAGCGTTCGTTCGACGTGTGATGCGTACGTCGCCGGGAATAGTCGTTATTAGTTTGAAAGTTCTTGGTCAAGTCGCTTGCGTGGCGAAGGAAAAGACGTCAAGGTTAATACACCTTTTTACGTTAAGCCGACCTTCCGAGTACGATGCGGGCTCCGTCACGGTTCGACAATCTGCCTTTATACTGAAACGTTTGACCGTGAATATGAGTCGATGGAATTCAAACGTAGAAACGTTCACGCGTGGCCAGCCTTATCTTCCGGTCGCGCTCTCTCTCTCTTTCTCTCTCTCGCGTAGTGCTGTCTGAAAATTCTTCGATACACAAACGGTGTCGCTGCACGCGCACCTACATGTGCCTCTGCGTAACGTATAGACAAGCGTGTGTTGTACAGGTTAGGATAACCGTTTTTGCTTTGAAAAGAATTCAATCCTCGAAACCATCGGAACTACTATCCGTTGTGAATAAATTAGCTCGCACTGTTTACGTTCCGCGCGAATATCATTGGCTCGTGCAGCTGTGTAGTCCGTGTTATATAGCCATTTCATGTATATTACTTTCTCTGTCAAAGTTTTTTTATCAGCACAACAGCCTTCACCGCACATATTCATGCTCGCGTACGATCGGATCGTGACAGAACTGGCAATGAAGCGTCCTACCCTTCGTGAGTGAACAACATCGCTTTGTGTTCTAAACGGTCGACGGTTAGAATTTACTTCTTTGCTGTGTCGAACGTTCGTTTATCTTGCGGGGGCAGCGTCGCGGTGCCGCGTGAAGGCCTCCTATTGTGATATTTCGTTGGACTCGGCCGGTCTGGTGGGGGGAAATAGTGTCGGGGCGCGCACAGAAACGTTTAGTAATTGAATGTAGCGAATTAAACAATCGTTGGGAGTCGTACGGGTCGGCCGACGAACGGCGCTGTACCGTTGTTAGTTGTTTCACCGATAGACCTCCTCGGATGGGGACTATTACTCATTACACTTCCTGCCCGGGAGAACGCTATCGACCAAAGTGATGAATCACGAGGCTATAAACAGATCTTCGACTTTATAATTACAATTTAATGAATGCGGCCACACGATGATTGTGTGGGACCTCACCTGCTGATAACCTTGGCATTGTGAAACTGAACTTTTGCACGAACCTTCATTTACAACGAGTCGCTTTAACAACGTGTTTGACCAATTTTCGCGATTAGACCGTTTTCAACGGGGTCGATAAGCTGACAATTTTGCGTTGCACAGCGTTCCAATAGCGGAACGTTGAATTTTTTCTCGGTAATTTAAATATCGATGCATTTTTTTTTTAATCTTTACACGTATTTTTAGAAATCTTTTTTTCTTCCTTTCTTTTTACTGTTGATAAATATTCGAAAACCTTACGTGTATTCTTTCTTTCTTCATACTGATAAATTCTCGAAGATCTCGCCGGTATTTATACGCACGCCGGTTCAAATAACGATAAATCTTTTAAAAATACATCTGGTAACTTCATTTCCATCAAATGACAAACCTGATGCAGCGTTACATTTCATTCTCGTGAACTTCTATATTCTCGATAACCTTATCTGATCTGGTAATCTCTGTTGATATGCAAGTTCAAATTACAAACTGGAATTGAAATTTGAATTCCGATTTCCGAGATAACGTATCGCCGTTGGAATATCTCTCGCCTAACAGAATCGAAATCGAAATTGCTCGCAGTGAAACCTTCTAACACCAAAACCACATAGAAAGTTTACACTACAGCGATTCGTGTACTTCTCCCAAACAGGCTGTTTCGCGTTCACGCGTGAAAGTATCGCGTTTTAACGGAATTTCAAGCGTACAATCCTACCCGCCATTGTTCAATTTCGTTCTTTTTCCCCCCGTCGAAGTAATAACGACGTCTTAATCCAAGCTCGTTTCGATTCGATTCCTCACGCCGCGACTCCATGTTCGACGAACGTTTGCCGTGGAATCGCGCGCGGATTAACGTGTCACAATATCGCAGGAAGAGAATTGCTGCTTCGATCGACTGTCGTAGGCGAGAAACGCCAGTGTCGTGAGTCGATCAATTCTCACCGTAAAGCGTTTAATGCAATTTCCTCCCGACACTGATTGATCGAGAAACGACAGTCGATTCGCTTTGAATTATGTTAATCATATAAAATTGCCCCTTTTTCACATACACTGTTTTACGTCTTACTAATTAATCGATTTTAATACGCAAATTATTAATTACGTAGTTTTTTTTTAGACAAGTTGCGTTCCATTTTATCGCTAGGGAATTTAAGGCTGGTATTCGTGAAATTCGGGGGAAATTTTTTAAATTGGAAAATTTCACAAAATGGCGACGCACGTGTAGGAACTTTTGCTTCGGAAATTCGTCGAATACCGAATTTTGAATTACGTAATAATTTCGTTTTAAAATAGCGTTTTCCGAATTTAAAGCTAGCTTTCTTAATAATTAGAGTAATTTAGAAATAATTACAGAGGACCATTCGTAACATTCGCTGTCTGTGTCAATTATCATAATGGAAGCTATAGCGTGGAACGTAAATCATGCGTTCAGTAAAACAGTCGTTGTGTATTATATGTACAATATTTTTCACTTGGCCGATAATATATCACTCAAGTGAATTGTTCATGAACGTGATTTTAAAATTCAACCGGCCAAGCGATAATGCAACAATAAATTACCATACGATTTTTCACTTAGTTGCTACGAGTAGCAAATTTTCCTCGCTCTAATAAAATATCGCCATCTCGAGAAGCGTTCTCTGAAAAATTTTACAAATTCACGAAAATAACCGTTTTCTTTTTCTCTTCTTTCTTCCGTGCTCGAGATAATGTGTACGTTTTAACGACTTTCAAAACACCGATTCAACGTTAATCAAGCTCGAAAAGGAAAACACTTGTTTCGAGTGTTTATCGATTTTTCGTAATGAAAGTTAACAAAGTTTTTATTTATTTATTTACGGGCGTATAACTCTTTGGAATACAATTGTAGGCAATTTGTTACAGTTTTATTTATTTTTTTATTTTAAATAAAATGGTACAATGTCTTTCATCGCGAGTTTGTATAGGAGAGAAATATTGTTGGAAATGATCCACGTATCACGTTTCTGGGACGTGAACTAAATGTCCCATTCTACAGCAGCTTTCAGAATACTGTTATCTCGCTCGAAAAGCAGATATCCTACATGTTCCGAGATTGTGTATCAGGATTTTACGAAAAATTAAGAAACTGGATGGCACGAGCAACTTGTCCACCACAATTCTGTTTGTTTTACACAGTTTTCAGCTTTGGGTTCGCTCTAATTAACACGTTTCTTGCCTCGTGGATCACCGATGGGTCGTCATCGTGCTTACGAGAAACGAGGAGAATATTATTTATTTATTTTCAATTAAAACGAACGAAGAATTAATAGGACAGCTGTTCGTTGACGTACATATTATTTGTTCGTTGTGGCCTTATTTGAGAAAAAAGTTAATTTGGTATACAAATAAGATGTTCTTCGAGTGAGTGAGAATATCTTCAGTAGTTGTCGATTAAAGCTGATAAAATGGGACGAGAAAAATCGCAGTTTCTGTTTATTAGCATTTAATTGTTGCAGCTACAATTTTTCTGTCACATGGCAAGTATTTTATTAAATAAAAAGCACAGAATTAAATCTGTGGATCAGATTTCGTAAGAATGAAAAATGTTAGCTTAACATTTTAGATCAAATTTCTCTTTTTAATATTATTCCATATTCTCAGATGTTACTTAACAAAAGAAAAAAATTGATATTTAATAAGAATAGAAAGGGTGAACTCAACCATTATGGATAAAAATTTTTTCAATATTCCATAAAAAGTTGCAAGTTTGTTATGTTGTATACAAGTTTGTATACGAAACAATTGAATTCATGCATACTATTAACAATATTATTCTTCTCCGATACAAGCACTTGTACAACATTTTATCAAATTCTGTGATTCATCAATTCTGCAATTAATCATTTGCCTACAAGATAATTACCAAAGCACACACGACGATAACATCATTCCATTTGTTAATCTAGTTCACACATTTGGAATCTGTTTTCTTCGAAAAATTACTTTCCTTTACCCATACATCAAAAAAAGACTATCGCACATTTCAACATAATTCCAAGATTCTACACGAAACCAAACCAATCTGACGCCGTCATCCTTGGAATTCTACTTCGATCAAATTAAACTCTCTCTCTCTCTCTGTGTCTCTTCCCTGTAACGTAATTTCCAACGTTAAAATTACAAATCCAGTTATCGCCGGGTATGAAGACTACCTCACACGCGCGCGTGCTATGAGCCCCTTTAAATTTTCCAACGCGCGTTGAAACGACGCGATTAAACGGGTCTCTCTCTCTCTCTCTGGTAATAAAACCGGGACATTCGCAGCGTGTGTGTGGTGTGCGTTGGCATAAAAGTTTGAACATAACGTGTGCGCGACGCAACGATTGCCGCGTTAGATGAATCGGAAAAGCTCTTCGACCTTGCGTTTGCGCCGTTATCGCGTTTGCGTCACAATATTTTCTCGCTTACCAGTTCAGAGAGAAACGGTGAGAAATCGCTTTGAATGTCGGTATC